TCCCAAACTGACACACCTCAAACATTCCTGATACATTTATCCATAAGTACATTAAATGATCAAGAAACTATTACATATCCTTGCCTTATTCCCTCCTCCAAGATGTACTTATGTTAAACATTGTATTTATTCACATGCATACTTTACTTCTATCATACACAGATTATTGACTTCAGTAACAAACGTTTATATTCATTCACAGCATTCCCATTCCCTTGATTACACCTCTCCTAAATCAGCAAACATACAAGAATTTTCTCACATACATTATCATAAAATGTTACTCTGTGCAAGTTAGGATTTCCAATCTAGAGACTATCTTGCAAAGCAATATTGTATTCCCCAAAGAGATGCACAGAGAGTACTGAGACACTTAAGATGCATATGCAACTGTTATATTAAATCTTAAAATGAGACCAAAAGCTATGCTATCATTTTCAGCAAAATCAAAGCCTGAAGCTGATTTACAAGAAATTAAATACTAGTATCACAAGCTATTAGCTGTGTTATTAGAAATACTTACTAGAGTGTATCTGGAGGCCCAATAATAAGAACTTCCCATCGATAGAGATCATTGTCATCTATTAAACCTGCTGAGAAGCCTTCCACTGGGTTTTTGTTGAGCTCTGTTGAAACAAAAATAGTTATAACTCATATTCGTACTTCATTCATGACATGCACACAGGAGAATTTTCAGAATATTCTGAAATACTTTTTGCTGCCACATTCTCAAGATTCTGATTTATTGATTTTCTAAGAACCATAAACTCCCAAATGACAAAAAAGTAACTCACGAAAATTCAAGGAAAAAGTAACTCAAGGAAATTCTAATCAGTTACCTGACTTTCTCCCTGCAAGTTACTGTATTGTTTTCTGGTTTGCTGTCTTTTATAATGCACTGTAATACTATTAATAGCCCCAGTAGTACTAATCAAATTCCACCCGCCCTTTGAAGAGTAAGCTATTGTTAAAAAGAATAAACACTAACATTTAATTTTAAAATGCATGCATACAGATCCTTCAAATCACTTCAACATTAAGCATTTTACTTAGAGCCAAGAAAAAGCTTTAAATGAACTGGAAATCTGAAGAACCACCTGTTCCATAAGATTTTGCACAGTGAGAGAATCTTGAAACAGCCTTCTTCATTGTGCTTAAGTAAAAACTACTGAGGAATGACGACTTCTATGAGAGTACCCAGCAATGATAAACTTCCTAATGCAATGTTCATCTGGCACCAAAAAAAAAAGGTACTTTCCCCCCTTGCATCAGTGTTACTGATGAGTTGCAAATAGTCAGAAAATGATTGACAAAATACTTATTACAATTCCATGAATTCCTAAATTACTAAGATTCTACCCCTAACATATACTGAATCCAGAATTAATAGCCAGGGAAAATTGGGTGCTGGTTCACAGTGGGGAGGGTGGGTCCTAGGACAACTTGCTGTGGCCAAGTCATCATGGGACAACTCGCCATGGGACAATTCAATGTATTAATCACTACATTCAGTTACTTTTATTATTGCTGACCATGTTTTCATTGAAATTATTGTAACTCTTTTATTTCTGGATTGACATTATTTTATTATTATTGGCCATGGCTCCATTTAAATTAATTGAACTTTTATATTTATTAAATTGTCCCACAGCGAGTTGGCCGTGATGAGTTGTCCCATTCCACACAGTGAGATCTAGGAACTGAGGCAGTGAACCTGCTGGGCAAGTATGGCAGGCAACCTACCGTTATAAATTGTAGAAATAATGGAAGCAGGATCTTCAATGATAGCCACTGGCTTCAAAATGGTGGGCATGAACCCACACTTTTTAACACATTACGTGCATTGCAATCACATAATAACAGATCAGTTTGAATTCCTCAGTTGAACCTGCTGTTTTGAAACCAATGACCATCACTACAGATACTCCTGATTAAAGGGTATCTAGAGGTTACCTAGCCCTTTTGTTCAATGCAAGATCCAAGTGGAAAATATATTTGCATCTTGTTTCATGTAGAGAGGTGAGCTCTTTTTGCTGTGAATTTTGTCCCACAGCAAAATTCTTAGAAAGGTTCAGTATTATTATTCCTCCTCTCTGACTCTGGAGTCTCCAGCTGTGCAACACCTGAAACTTTAGTGGGCAAATATAAGATTAGGTGAGAATGGCAGGGAGTTGCTCTGCCAGGTCTCAGCCATGCATGCCACATTTGCCCATTCTTTCTTAAGCAAATTCTTTTTACTCTAGCAATAATTAAGAATAGCCCAAGGCGAAGACATTGGCAATCAGGGACTGGGAAAGGGGCAATTGAGCTAAAAGAGAGAACTTCCTCCAACCTGTATTTCTACCTTAACCCCCTGGATGGTTTATAAAAACCATAGCTGGTTATATATTTTCAAGAATCTAGGCAATATCAAGGCTCTGTGGAAAAAAGAAAGATGGATCCAGGGATCTACACATCAGTCCACCAATTCTATGTACAATTCTATTTTAAAATAGACTTTGTGAGCCAACGTGTACTGATTATTAGAAGCCAATGCATATCTGTCAAGATCAAATCATACCATACAAGCTTTATTGCTTTTTTATAGGATCATTTATCTGTAGACGGTAACAATGGCATTAATGTATCCTGAGTTCAGTGAAGCATTTAACAAGATTTCTCTTGATCTTGTTGACAAAAAGTTAGAAACTGACAGGTTTTAGTCTTCAGCTTACAACCATTTGTTTAATGACTGTTCGAAATTATGGTGCTGAAAAAAGTGGTTTTTCGCTAGTCCTTGTACTTATAACCATTGCAGCATTCCCGTGGTCACATGATCAAAATTTGGGTGCTTGGCAACTGGCCATGTATTTACTATGGTTGCAGCATCCCAGAGTCACATCATTGCCATCTGCCACCTTCCCAGAAAGCTTCTGACAATCAAAGTAATTGAGGGGAGCTGATTTACTTAACAACCACATGATTTGTGTAATGATCACAGCAAAAATGGTCGCAAAACTGGGCACAACTCAGTAACTCAGGTTTCAGTCCCAGCTGTGGTTATAAGTTGACATGACACCACTCAATATATCACTAGATAAATTAACAACTGATTTGGGTTTGTACATAAAAACCAGAATAGGAATGTATAGAAACTATCATTATTTTCAAGATGTGAACCAATATTCTGAAAATTCAACTGAAAGCCTCCCATTTCTCCCTTCCTCCCCAAATTTAAATATTTACCCAGCAACCTACACAATATGCACAGATAGTATGAACATTTTTTTATTTGACAAATAGTGTTTCATTAGGATTGTGCAAATAGCCTGAACTAAGATTTGCTGGATAGGAGAGTAACAGTTGCAGGACAAAAGCAAAACAAGGCACTGACGCACACAGATGCCACAGCCATGTTTCAAGTTTGCAAAATTTAGCAGCTATGTAATTGAAGCTGTATATATGCCTAAGTTCTGCCTCTCCACTAAGGTCAGCAATACTAAAAGCACATTTTTCTCTGCTTAGGGCATTTAAATTATGAGAAATTGTTTTGCTTAAAAAAAAAAAAGCTTGCTTAACCTACAGAGGGAGACAACACCCTTGAATTCAGCTTAATTCTTGGCTCCATCCTTGGGAGTTTTCTACAAGGAAGCTATAAACTTCATAGCATAGAATCTATTTCAATTACTGAAACTGAAATTCCAATATAAAATATTGTATATCTCAAGATTTTGCTTCTGCGTGGTCTCAAATTGTCCTTTCTTTAAAAAAAAACCAAACAAATAGCAGCAGTATATGTTTAAAATACAGAGATTTCAACAAATGCAAAAGTGACTATTGCAATAACACTTACATTTGCTATCAAGGTAGCATTGCAACTAATTAAGAACAAAGCAGTTCTGACTGCATAAACTGGCTATCTACTCACAACAGGTAGGCAATTATCATGAATTTTTAAATCAATGAGATGGGGAACAAAAAGGTTGCTTTATTACATAAACAAATAGTGTAATTTAGCAACGACATCCCTTACAGTGTGGCCTTTGATTAATTTTATTTAAGGATGATCAAGATGTCAATATAAATCCAAGTCAGTCAAAGCAGTGTCATCAATGAAAGTGACTAAGCAGGAAAAATCTTATCTGTAAAGAAGCAACAATGCATGGTAACTCAACTTTTTAGCTTGCTGTGGCAGCTGCAACCTTCCATTTAATACAAATGTTTCTGCCAGTACATTGTGAATGCTAAGGAAATAAATTCAGTTCCAACTACCAGCCACTATCTAATACACATGTTTCAACAGAAGTAAATTTCTCATTAGATAACTGCAAAGAACATTAAAAAACTATGATATTGTTAAAGATTAAAATGAAGTTAAAAGGAACAATTGTAAGTCTAACAAGGCAGAGGGAGCTGAAAACTTGTCAAAACCAGAAATGTCTTCCAATTACATTTCAACCATCACACTTCAGGGCTAATACTTCAAGGATTACCTGCAGACCAGCTATATTGCTTTGAACTGATAGCTACTTGCCCAGAATACTTAAATGTAAAATAATTCTAAAATCTTGTCCAATGTTATTTAATAATATAACAATATAATTAAATGGATAAATATTTACAATATTTGTCACTTTTGTTTCATATGTTGGTATTTGTGTATTTATTCAACAGCAAACTATCAAATAATTGCTGAGTCTTTCCTCCCCAAAGCCAACAAGAATTCCAACACAAAAAACTTAAAGTCATCTATACTATTTATGTTTAAGATAAACAGTCCAAATTTCTGGCTCCTAAAGAGCCGTATGTCATTTGTTTAAAGGGCATAGGAAATAAGATTTTCAGTCACTAATGGATCAACAGCAAAAAAAAGTGATCATTATGATAATCATTTCACAGATTCTAAAGCACTGCTACACAAAGAAGCATTCTTTCTTTCTTTATTATTTTATTTATATTGCTGCCCAATCCCACATTCATGACTCTGGGCAAATTACAATTAAAACAAAAAGAATACAAAAAGAAAAGAAAAAAGCAGCCATGTAAAAGAGCAGCCTGGTCCAACCTTTTGGGCACCAGAGACTGGTTCCATGGAAAGAGGTTTTTCTGTGGACTGGAGCGGGCATGGTTTCAAGTGCTGCCTGCATCCAGTTTCTGAAATGCCAAGGACAGTGGCGGTTCATGGAGTGGGGCTTGGGGACCCCTGTTATAAGTAATACAAATATTAAAAACAATTAAACAATTAAAAGCCATACAATATAATTCTTGGGAGAGCACATACATTCAAGAACAGTACTATCATGTTATAAGCCCCACAACGTTTTCTGATCTACAGGTCAGATGGCAAAGCCAGATCTTCAGGGCCTTCTGGAAGGCCGTTAAGGTGAGGGCCAGTATGATCTTGCGGGGAATCCATAGGGTGAATGCAGCAGTAGCAAAGGCCCTTTCCTTGGTCGCTAGTGGATGGAACCCACAACAAGTTTCTTCTGTTGGACCATTTGAGACTAATGGATATCACTGGGGAGTGGGAGTCCCTCAAATAACCCACCCCCATGCCATGTGGTGTTTTAGAAGTTATCACTAGGAACTTGAATTAGATCTAGAAGTAACTTGGTGATCAGTGTAGCTCATGGAAAGAAGATGCAAT